GTCATTTATCACCTGATTTTTTTTTATTTTATTAAAATCTACGATTTTTATTGGCTAATCAACATGTGATATTTTTCACATGATAAAAATTTAGTCTGCTTATCAGCAGACGTTGTACGTAATAACTGGATGTCTTATGAACATATGTTTCAGCTCCAATTTCACGATGGAAAGTGTTCCTTTAAAAGTTTACCTGAGAATTCAATACAACGAAGGAGAAATCGGATAACTTTTCTTCGATCACCTTCCGATTTAAAATTAGTAGATAAAAAAGGAGGACCGGCGGCTTCACCGTTGTAATATGCAGAAAGCTCCTAACAATCTTCTTAAGACGAAAGAAATGGCTTAAAAGATCCGATCAAATTTATTAATATGAAAATAAAAGCCCAGAGAAAGGAAAAAAACACCTACGTAGCAATAAATTAAGAATAGTAAAAAATTTCTATATATTTATATGTATATGTGATTACGAGATTCTAGAAAATTAAACTTCATTTGTTCTAGAATATGTAAAAAAAATTTTTTGTAATACCGTCAAGAGCTTATATTTATTTATAATTTTGTGCCGATGCTGATTCTTCGGCTAAAAATTTTCTCTGACGAATATTTCATATTTTCCAGGATCATTTATTACGCTAGTGCTATTTACAATAGATATTTCATTTTCAAAGTTATATCATCCGAACTTTTCACTTTCATTTTTGTAGAAAAAAATTGCACCACGTGTAGGGTTGTGTTACGAAAGTTACAATCTTACAATACATGTATTTTTAGTAAATCAAATTTCATGTAATTTTATCATGGCTGATCATAGTAAATCATTATGATCAGTTACAGGTAGGGTAGGGTCGTAATTTTACGTAATTGTCCGGAGCGTAGCGGACAACCTACCTTACATATTCGTGTAATTTATCCGCTCCGGACATCTAACAGCATCTGTTTTCTTAGTTTATGTAATTTTTGCGTAAGATTCGGTAAATTGGATTGTAATTTTTGATCACGTGATGGTATGGCTTCTGTGATCAAATTTTCGGAGTTAAAATTCGGATCATACATTCAATTCAAATAGTACAATAATGCAGGTTAAACTTTTGTAAAGCCGGTGCTTTGTATAAAACATTGGGGTGTGTAACATCGGCCTAATTACAAACATAGTGCAGGTCATATAATGATGATCATTAATCAAGATTTTTTA